AGGAATAGGATGGGAAAAGCCAAACTGCAGAAGGGGGAAATACACAGGCTTGAGGAACTTCCTGCAAGACGCTCAGTGGGAGAGAGAACTGGCAGGAAAACCAGTAAAAGAAGTGATGGACTATGTGACTACAAAATGTAAGGAGGCAGAGGAGAGGTTTGTTCCCAAGGGAAACAGAAATATTGGGAAGACCAGAATGAGTCCTTGGTTCACTCAAAGGTGTAGGGAGGCAAAAACTAGGTGCACTAGAGAATGGAAAAGGTACAGAAGACAAAGGACCCAGGAAAATAAAGAGATCAGCCAAAGAGCCAGACACGAATATGCACAGATAAGAAGGGATGCTCAGCGACAATACAAAATGGCATAGCACTGAAAGTCAAGTCTGATCTGAAGCTGTTGTATAGCCACATCAGGAGGAAAACAACAGTTAAGGACCATGTAATCAAACTGAGGAAGGATGGTGGGGAGTTCACAAGAAACGACCAAGAGGTATGTGAGGAGCTCAACATGAGATATAAAGAAGTATTTACAGTGGGGACAGGAAGGAATCCATAAATTCAGAACAGGGAGGTTCACCAACAAGTGCTGGATGAGGTACACATAACCGAGGAGGAGGTGAAGGAGCTACTACATGAACCTGATACCTCAAAGGTGGTGGGACCAGACAACATCTCTCTGTGGGTCTTTAGAGAGGGAGCAGAGATGTTGTGTGTGCTACTAACAAAGATCTTCAACACATCCATTGAAACTGGGCTATTACCTGAGGTGTGGAAAACGGCAAATGTAGTACCAATTTTTAAAAAAGGAAACAGTCACGAGGCATTAAACTACAGACCAGTGTCACTAACGTGTATAGTATGCAAAGTCATGAAGAAAATCATCAGGAGGAGAGTGGTGGAGCACCTGGAAAGAAACAAGTGTATAATCGATAAACAGCATGGTTTCAGGGAAGGAAAATCCTATGTCACAAACCTATTGGCGTTTTATGACAAGGTAACAGAAGTAAGACAAGAGAGAGAGGGGTAGATAGACTGCATTTTCTTGGACTGCAAGAAGGCCTTAAACACAGTTCTTCACTAGACATTAATGCAATAGCTAGAGGATGAGGCACACATAACAGGAAAAGCACTGAAATAGATCAGAGAATACCTGACAGGGAGGCAACAACGAGTCATGGTACATGACAAGGTGTTAGAGTGGGCGCCTGTGACGAGCGGGGTTCCACACGGGTGAGTCCTAGGACCTGTGCTGTTTTTGGTATAAGTGAATGACATAACGGAAGAGATAGACTCAGAAGTGTCCTTGTTTGCCGATGATGTGAAGTTAATGAGGAGAATCAAATCGGTCGAGGATCAGGCAGGACTACAAAGAGGCCTGGGCAGGTTACAAGCCTGGTCTAGCAACTGGCTCCTTGAATTTAACCCTGCCAAATGCAAAGTCATGAAGATTGGGGAAGGGCAAAGAAGACCCCAGACAGAATATAGTCTAGATGGCCAAAGACTGCAAATCTTACTCAAGGAAATAAATCTTTGGGTGAGTATAATACCGAGGACATCTCCTGAGGCACACATCAATCAGATAACTGCTGCAGCATACGGGCATCTGACAAAACTAAGGATAGCGTTCCTATACCTCAGTAAGGAATCGTTTAAGATTCTGTACACCGTATACATCAGGCTCATACTGGAGTATGCAGCACCAGTTTGGAATCCACTCCTGGTCAAGCACGTCAAAAAATTAGAGAAAGTGCAAAAGGCTTGCAACAGGACTAGTCCCAGAGCTACGGGAATTGTCCTAAGAAGAAAGATTAAGGGAAATTGACCTGACGACACTGGAGGACAGGAGGGCCAGGGGAGACATGATAACTACATATAAAATACTGCGCAGAATAGACAAGGTGGACAAAGACAGGATGTTCCAGAGATGGGACACAGAAACAAGGGGTCACTGTTATGCAGGGTTCTGTATGACATTGTAATGTATATACAATAGTGAAGGGTGTCATAATAGTTTGAAAGTTATAATTGTAAAGCATAATTTTATAATTCATAATGTGCTTTTGGGGGTACTATAAAGTAGGTTAAACTATAATTATAAAGAAATCATGCTAGGGATTTATTTTCCAAGGGTGTTTGGGTACGTGGAGTAAGCGTGGCTTAGGGGAGTCACATGGAGTCAGCATGGTGTGGAGGCTGGCGTCGGAGATGCTGTGTATTTAAGCTAAGTTTGTAGTAGTTGTATACTCCTTTTGTTTAGCTAACCCAAGCCATAGGCTCTTCTATGGCTTACCTGTATGCCCACCTAGGCTCTGACATGGTCAGGGTGCTGTGGGATGAGTGAGGAAATAAGAAATAGGGTTGGTAGTGGAGTAGTGACGGCCTGGCGCTGACTAGGCCTAGTGGTTATGGTGGCTGGACCTCCAGCCAGCTGTTTCTTGTGTACCCTCATTTGGGCGTTTAGGATTAAGGTGTTTCTAGAGAGTGTATATAGTGTTATGTTGAATAAATAGATACGTTTTCCTAACTGGGATTTTTGCCTAACCCTCTGTTAACCAACCCATTGAAGTAAAACAT